CAAGATTTTGGACATCTTTTTATGTCCTTTTCCATCTTTATAAAGTTCCATTACCTTGTGTCGCAGGACTTTTGACAGCTCTTTTCTGATCACCATGGCTCAGTATCTAGCCTAGTCAGTGCTTCCACGTAAGAGCTAACAAACTCATTGATTATTTATACACTGACACTAATTGCAATTTAAAAAGCCACAGATGTGGGACATTAACCTCTAATTGGCATTTTAACCCGTGTGTGTTACCTTGTGTGTCTGTACCAAGGCCAAACATTCCAGGGTATGTAAACTTTTGATCATGGCCATTTGGGTGATTTCTGTTATCATTATGATTTAAAAAGTAGCCAAACAACTATTTGATAATAAATGGCTTCATATGATTGTTATCCTTCAATAAAAGAGCATTTTTTTTTGGCATGATCAGTCATATTTGCAATATCAAGGCCAACATTTCACAATTTCAGCCAGGGTTTGTAAACTTTTGAGCACAACTGTATATCCAATTATTTGGATGATACTGCTTCTGCGTATCTGATTCAGTGAGTTTGTGATTTTTTTTTTTCCTTTCTTCTCATTTACCTTCTTCTTTCTTTGCTTTGTTCTTTTTTTTTAATGTATTTGTTTGAAATATTGGAACTACTAATTGTCATAGCAATTCTGCTTATTTGCAATTTTGATGAAGGTATTTGTCTACCTATGTTGTATGGTTTATTAGTCTACACCCGCCTATGCTCTCACCTCAACGACAACAACCTCCTCGATCCCCTACAGTCCGGCTTCCGTCCCCTACACTCCACCGAAACTGCCTTACTCAAACTCTCCAACGACCTGCTAACCGCCAAAGCTAATGGCCACTATTCAGTGCTCCTACTCCTTGACCTCTCTGCGGCCTTCGACACAGTCGACCACACCCCCTCCTCCTCAAAAAACTACACTCCCTCGGCCTCAGAGATTCTGCTCTCTCCTGGCTCTCATCCTACCTGTCACAACGCTCCTTCAGCGTTACCTATAATGCTACCACCTCCCCCTCACTCCCCCTCTCTGTTGGGGTCCCTCAAGGCTCTGTCCTCGGGCCCCTTCTCTTCTCCATCTATACCTCCTCCCTTGGCCAACTCATACACTCTCACGGCTTCAACTACCACCTCTATGCCGACGACACACAAATCTATCTCTCAACCCCCCACCTCACCCCCTTGGTCTCAGCCTGAATCACACACCTACTGAGCGACATATCAGACTGGATGTCGCTCCACTTCCTTAAATTGAACCTCTCCAAAACCGAGTTTCTTGTCTTCCCCCCAGCCCGGACACCACCCCCCATTGATTTCTCCGTCACATCCAACAACGCCACCATCAAACCCGCCCCGCAGGCCAGAGTACTTGGTGTCATTCTGGACTCCAACCTATCCTTCCAGCCCCAAGTCCAATCTTTAACAAACTCGTGCAGACTCCACCTCCGCAACATCGCCAAAATCCGCACGTTCCTAACCCCAGAAACCACTAAACAGCTCATCCACTCCCTCATCATATCACGACTCGACTACTGCAACTCCCTCCTCACTGGCCTGCCTCGCCGCTGGCTATCCCCGCTTCAGTCCATCCTGAATACGGCTGCCAGACTCATTCACCTTTCCAACCGCTCTGTCTCCGCCACCCCCCTCTGCCAATCCCTCCACTGGCTTCCGATTGCGCAACGGATCAAATTCAAAATCCTAACGCTGACGTACAAAGCTGTCCACCATACTGCCCCGAACTACATCACTGACCTAATATCAAAGTACCGCCCAGCATGCACACTCCGCTCCTCACAAGACCTCCTTCTCTCTAGTTCCCTGGTCTCCTCCTCCCATGCCCACCTCCAGGACTTCTCCAGGGTGTCACCCATCCTCTGGAACTCGCTGCCTGCCCCAACCCATCAGATTATCACCTACTCTCCTCTCCTTTAGGCGCACCCTGAAAACCCATCTCTTCAGGGAAGCCTACCCCACCCCCTGCTAACTTGCCGACCTCCTCCACTCTTCCTACCACTCCATCCCCCACAGCTATCTCCTCCTGTGCCACCACCCCCTCCCTCCTAGATTGTAAGCTCGAAAGAGCAGGGCCCTCGATCCCCTCATGTTTTGCATTGTATTGGTATTGTTCTGTCACATGTTCTGTCCCCCTTTGTAATGCACAGCGCTGAGCGAACTATTGGCACTTTATAAATACTGTATAATAATAATAATATAATAATCCTTGCCTTAGCTGATAGCATTCCACATCTTCCAATACCATTTCCCAAATCTATATCCCTGCTCATCAGTGCAGTCCCATATCTGACATATCAGTATGGATGTCACACCACTTTCTTAAACTCAATCTTTCCAAAACTGAGCTCATTCACAACCTCACCCCCCCCCCCCCCCCCCCCCCCACAAACACACACACAATACCATGCCCCCTACCGTGACTTCTTCATCCAAATCAATGGCGCAACTATCTGTCCATCTTCTCATAAAAGTGCTAGTTTTAATCCTGGACTCTTTCCTTTAGACCCTAAATCCATGTCACAATCTTGCCATCTCAACCTCCACAACATCTCCAAATTATGCCCCTTAACTAACAGCACCAAAAGGCTACTACATCATTGCCTGGGTTATCTCTCTTTGACTATTGCAACTCCCTCCTCTTTGCCTACTTTTACGTGGGCTATCCCACCTTCAGTCACAGCAGATATGGATGATGTTCTGAGAAACAGAGTGGAAGAGAAGCAACTGGAAAAGGTATTGAAGTGCAAGGACCTGCATAAATACAGCAACTATACTCAATACCATTGATGCAAACCTTAGAGATTGGAACATCATTTTAAAATGTTGGTTGTTTACAGAATGGCCGTTCACCAGCTGTAGAAAAGGGTATTATTGAGGGGGGAGGGGGGATGCAACATCTCTCAGGCTTGGTTCACATATGTGCGGGTGATGCTGCTGTGGATCTGCACAAAAATCCATGCAGCCGCACCACCCACACAGAAGAATGCGGACCCACGGGTGGGTGCCATTAATTCTAACACCACGCCGCCCCGCACTGGAAATTGCAACTGCACTGGGAACCGATGTTCCCATGCGGGCTGCAGTTTCCAAAGAAGTGCAGGGACTTCTTCCTTGCATGTCCCGGGGCACGGGGAGTCCATTCAAATGAATGGGCTTTCATTCTTTCGCAAAACACGGCCCGCACGGCCGCATATATGTGAATCAGGGCTCAATGTCTCAGCATCAGCAAAAGGATTTCAGGATAAGTGAAGACCAAATCCAACTGGTTCACACTATATCAACATTATTATTATTATTATTATTATTATTATTATTGTTATCGCTGTTTCCATTTTATATTATTATATACACACTATTATTATTATGATTGCTGTTGTCACTGTCAAAGTGAACCTAGCATCACATATATTTTTTCTATTGTACAGCGCTGAGCATATCCTTTGGCGCTATATAAATACTGTATAATAATATATAATAATAATAATATTACCGTTTCCTTGTCCTATTGAGATATATCTGTTGACTTACTGTTTATTCTATGTCATCAGAAAATGTTAAGAAGGATTGATTATAAAAAAAAATATATCCAATTATACATGGGTCAGCAAAGCCTTTTAAATATCTAGATTCTGTTTAAAATGTAGCATTCACCCTACCTCATTCCTTGGGTTATAGATTGGCATGAAAAAGTGAACCCAATATTATATAAAGAAAAAGTGAGCCCAATAATAACTACTCTGAACTATCACTGAAATGCCAGCCTATAAAAAAACATCAGTCTCAGTGTATACCTTCTATCCCCCACCCTGTCTATGTCAATGTACTTTCTACAATTTCTTTGTCATCACCTTCTCAATATACCTTCCACCATCCTTCAGCCAGCATCTGTCTTAGTGTACCAGTTAAACTGTTCCCCAAATAGAGACTGAGGAAAGTAACTGTTTTTAATCAGGCAGACCTGCAGTAAAGTAAGTTTACATAATAAACTCAGAAAGAACAAAGGCAGTAGCCCTCATTGAAATAAGTACTGCATTCTTATCTTTGCTCTCAGCACTGTTTTTATGAAATTAGTCTTCAAATGCTACCTACAATAACTCAATGGTACTGGCAATAGCTGAGTGGCTCCCCTAGATCTTTCTAATCTGTAGTTTGGTAAGAATTATAGAATGGGGTAGATTTAATCATTTATGATCTGCCTATAGCAACTAATGATTTGACTAAAGCCAGACCAGGTAACCACTGCTTTGGTAGGTTTCACTTCTAGCAGTCACCTTTCATGTGGGCACTGTCCAGTCCTCAGGTGCCCCCAGGGAATTAAGTGCTGGATTAACTTGTTTTAAAAGGCAAACTAGGAAATGTGAGACTGGCTTTATCGGAGGTGGCAAACAGTGCCAAGTGATAAATAGAAGAAAGATTAAGAGCCCAGAAGTCCAGTAATCTAGTGTCCATGAAGGACTGGACAGTTGTGCTCAGAATCTAAAGTCTTAGCAGAAGTTGGGGCAGACAGAGTTCCATGAAAAAGCCAAAGATCAGGTCCATGAATACAACCTAACAGTGGAGGGAATATTGCAGGGCACAAGAGATAGGAACAGATAAAGCCAGGGACAAGGGAGGCCACAACTAATTACAGATGTAGCTGTATTATGTGCCAAATCTTGACATTTACAGCCCCTACCACACTGCATGGCAGGGGAGATGAGGGAAACCCTAAGGAGTACATTACCTATATTTAGTTCCTGCATCTGTAGTTTTGAATGGTAGTTCAAAGCAGATATGGGCTATACAGAAACTAGGTAACTTGTGGCAACCAGACAGAAATCATCTCTTATTTTTCTGACTGCTCTCAGGGGATAAAAAATGTATTTTTATTGGTCACTCAGAGATAGTGAATGTCCACAATACTGTTTATGTTATCTTTCTACTAACATCATTAGAGATAGAGCTACCTTTTAAAGAGTGAAAGGCAGTGTAACAATACTATACCCCCTGTGTGAGATCCAGTTCACAGGATGCATTGCCCAAGCTGTTGCTTGCTATGCATCTGTAGTATCCTTCTTCAAATTTAGTCATATTGCCCAGAACTATGATTCCTTCACTCTGCTCTGTAACAAAAATATATATGTATAGTAAAAACAATACAATTAATAAACGAGAGAGAGAGCGAGAGAACTATTATTTATACACATCTATGTATTACAACTTTACCATTTTCACTTACCAACATTTACTGGCAATAGAACATCCTTCTCTACTCTGCTCCAAGTATAGAATGGCCGGGGCATCCCTTGCTTAGAAATGCATAACAGTGTTACACTGTGTCCTACTTCCATATGCCCTTCTATGCTGCAATGTGGGGTAGATGGCGCAACTGGAAGAGATCAGAGATAATAGCATAAATGATTCATATACGATAACTCAAAGTGACCCCAAATTAAAATACAGAAAACAAGGGAACTCACTTGAAATGGAGGAAAATGGAACAAGTGAAGAGGTAAACACACAGTGCAAATACACATACAGTACATGTGAAATGTGTTGCTTAGCCTGATATGTGTTTTTCTATTCAGCCAGTCTTCTGATTGTTGGTGCTTTACAAGTGGTATAGTCTGGAAAATGCTGTGTAGCCAAAACAATATATCCACTATATCCTGTTTTAGCTTTCCAGCTTCCTATACAATAAATAAACACTGTAATGATAACTGATTTTTGTATGATGAGCAGGCTGGAGGTGAGAAACTGGCACAGGAAGCTGCAAAACTGAACAAGGTAAAAATGGCGGCACCTGGCTGGCAGTGCAACATGGCACACAGGTGTCAACCGCAAGTCTGGCTAATCAGTATCCATAATATAATCTTGATTGCAAATTAATAGGAGAAGGTACTGTACCAGGGTAAAAGAAAGAAGACTTGTTAAAACAAAGTTCTCCTGCGAAACTAATTAAAGGAAACCTTTATTGAAAGAAATGTGGAGGTTGGCATTGCTTATTCCCTTATGAAAATGTCAGCTGTTAGGCTGTCATATTGATCTCCCAGCTTTCATACTTTTTGAGTCAGGAAGTGTAAACAAGCAAGCAGCAAATGAAGTCAGAACAAAGTCATAGAACGTTTGTCAATTAATTAGTACGATAGACAGGCAGCTAATAGTTTCCAAAGTTGGTCAGCAATGGCAGCCTACATATTGCTGCCTGTACAGGTTTTAACTAGTCTTCCCTTTCTAAAGTAAAGATCGTTGTGGAAACCATAACCATAAATGAAAGTTACTCTGTTATACATGTGAATGCACACACACACATTAAATAACAAGAACTGTTAAAGGATTTAAGCATGACCTAAGTACCCTGTACAATCACTTGTATATGCCCCATTCCAATGGGATCTGGAAGATTAGACACCGCACAGGTATAGAATCCAGTATCTTGTGGTTGCATGTTTGAAATAGTTATTGAAGCATTTCCAGTATTATTATAAACGGTCACTCTGTTCTTAAATCTTCCCATTGGGAAGGATTGTCCATTCTCGAAATAGTACACCTAGAACACAAGAAATAAGGGTCAGATCATTTCCAACACCACTTATGATTATTTTCTGTATAATCAGCTTGTAAATGCCACATTGTCCATTTTTTAATACCATTTACGAAAGCAGAATATATCCACCTTTAAAAAATATATTGAGTTTATAAAACATGTTCATTGGTTGGATTGGCCTGTGAATGGGATACATTCATTACTGTTTACCCAGCACCTGGGTTACCCAGTCTAATTGAAAATCCAGGAACCAGTACCATTTGCTGTATTTTTAATAAGTCCAGTGGTATTTTTCCTATACCGGAATGGGAGTGATTTATTCACTACTGACGTCTATAAGGAACAGCCGTGCTTGATACTATTATGTCATCCATATTATACCATGTGGAAGAAACATACAGCGTACTTATAAAAAAAAAAAAAGAGACCAAATTTCCAGATCATATATAAATATAATGACAAATCAACTCAGAGATTTTATTAAACTGTTCCGTGCTCAAAACAAGTGCTCTCCCAACTCCACCTCATGCCAATCAAACAGATCACCTTAAGCATAGACCCCCTTAAGTTATAGGAGGTGTAATATCGCTTGATGTATAAAGGTTTAACAATGTCCACAGCCAGGATCAGATGTAGTAACAAACATGGGGGTAAGGGGTTAATTTCAAAATACTGCCAGTTGTAAGCTGTTCATGAAAGAGAGCAAAATCACACAATAGTGTTCATTTTTATTACTTATTACAGCCACAGCAGAATCTACAACACTTACAAGAAGGTAAAACATGCAGCAGGATAAAAACCCCATATAACATCCAGCAAAAAGAAAAACCAGCACTATATTCAGCCAGTATACACTATATTACCAAAAGTATTGGGATGCCTGCCTTTACATGCAGAACGCAAACTTTAATAGTATCCCAGTCTTAGTTCGTAGGGTTCAATATGGAGTTGGCGCACCCTTTGCAGCTATAACAGCTTCAACTCTTCTGGGAAGGCTGTCCACAAGGTTTAGGAGTGTGTCTATGGGAATGTTTGACCATTCTTACATATGCGCATTTGTGAGGTCAGGCACTGATGTCGGGCGAGAAGGCCTGGCTCCCAGTCTCCACTCTATTTCATCCAAAAGGTGTTCTATCAAGTTAAAGTCAGGACTCTGTGAAGGCCAGTCAAGTTTCTCTACTGCAAAATAGCTCATCCATGTCTTTATGGACATTGCTTTGTGCACTGGTGTGCAGTCAAGTTGGAACAGGAAGAGGCCATCCACAAACTATTTTCACAAAGGTGGGAGCATGAAATTGTCCAAAATGTCTTGGTATGTTGACGACTTAAAAGTTCCCTTCAATGGAACTAAGGGGCCAAGCCTAACCCCTGAATGACAACCCCACACCATAATCCCCCCTCCACCAAACCTTACACTTGGCACAATGCAGTCAGGCAAGTACCTTTCTCCTGGCAACCACCAAACCCAGACACGTCCATCGGATTTCCACATAGATAAGTGTGATTCATCACTCCAAAGAACACGTCTGCACTGCTCTAGAGTCCAGTTGCAGCATGCTTTACGCCACTGCATTCAATGCTTTGCATTGCATTTGGTGATGTAAGGCTTGGATGCAGCTGATCGGCCATGGAAACCCATTCCATGAAGCTCTCTGCACACTGTTGTTGTGCTAATCTGAAGGTCACATGAAGTTTGGAGGTCTTTAGCTATTGACTCTTCAGACTGTTGGGAACTTCTGCGCACTGTGCTTTTTAGCATACGTTGACCCAGCTCTGTCATTTTATGTGGCCTACCACTTCATGGTTGAATTGCTGTTAATACCAATTGCTATCACTTTGTTATAATACCACAGCTGACCGTGGAATATTTAATGGATGGACTTATTGCACAGGTGTTAAGCTATCACGGTACCATGCTTTTGTCGAGAGAAGTCTGGGTTAACTACTCCTTTCAACTCATGGTAGCAGCAAACCGCAAACTCGTTACAAGTGGTAACATGTAAAATTAATATATGAGATGACTACACTGCTACTGATGAAAGGATATGAAGGATATGAATGAATATGAAACTGATAAATATACAAAGAAAAGCGATTAGCCTTTTGCCTAAAAGCAAATCCAGACCTAGTCATATCCCTAAAAATAATGATCATTAAAATAAATAACATAAATGTATTAGCTTAGTGAATTGAGCCTCCTTTACAGTATACTATTTGCAAAAGTTCTGAGGCATATTCATAAATAATGTTTGGATGTCCACCCCCTAGCTATAATGCTTATAATGTTGCAGTGAACAAGTGGAGAGGTGCAATAGGAAGAAGGGTCAGCAGCACACCAGAGGATAGATGCATATAGTGTGTACTTATTGATCCATAGGACACACAAAACACCAGGACATGAATACAGGACCTGTTAACGCGTTTCACACAATCTCGTGCTTAATCATAACCAATTAACCATTAAGCACGAGATCATGTGAAAAGCATTAATAGGTCCTGTATTCATGTCCTGGTGTTTTGTGTGTCCTATGGATCAATAAATACACACTATGTTCATCCATCCTTCGGTGTACGGCTGACCCTTCTTCCTATTGCATCATGTATGGTGGCGAGCCAGAGCCTGCACCTGTTGTGGATTGATCTGGATTGTTTTCCTGAGCGGTATACCTTTGTTCTTTGAACAAGTAGAGAGGTACTGGATTAAGTACTGTAGGTGGAATGTAACAATATATACATGACAAAGTGAAGGGACCCATGACAAATCACTGTCTTGCATGCCAATTTTAGTACCTCTTCAGTTATGCCCTCTGCATAAAAATGTGTGCTATAAACAGCAATCTAGTAAGAGAATTACATGCAGTAAGGGTATTGTATATCTTCTCACAATAAAATTAAAACATGAAAATCTTGACAACTAAATGCATGGAATGTTTTAAGATACCTGGAAATGGGTTTAACTAGGCAACATGTAATTCAAATTCACTAAATTGCAATATATCATATATGCCTAGATGGGTAAGTGCAAAATGGACCTAAAACAATCAAAATCAGAATTTCCTATTGGAATTCTGGATGTCCCTAAGAACCCCTGGTGGGCCCTCTTACGTTCACTGAATTGTGGAATCCTGGATACAGATGCACTATCTTTAGATTGATAGAGTTAGTTTTTGATGATCAGGCTGGGAGGGTGAAGGGTTGGCCTACCCAAGAAGGTAGGCCTGTGATTTAAACCGATTTCATAACCACTCATACTGTGTGATACTTGTACTGATACGGTGTGAAGCAGAGCCTATTTTTCTTTTTTGTTTCTTTCTTCTTTTTGTCATGCCTTATATCCACTCCATTTAATGATATTTTATAACTCACCATCTCATATACTTCAATTGCTTGTTCTCCTAGATGCAAATCCCTTAAAACCAATCTCTTTAAAAGAAGTTTATCCTGCCTCCACATAACGAATTCATTTTCTAGTTTCTCCATCAGCTCTTCCCCCCCACAGTTATTACCACACAGGGGCGGACTGACCATTTGGAAACTCAGGCACTGCCCGAGGGCCCAGGGTCACTAGGGGGCCCCATGAGATGCCCCTGGTACCTTTTTCATAGGTTTTTTTTTTTAGTTTGGGCAAGGACACAGGGGCCCCATGATCCCCTATTGCCCGGGGGGCCCCATGAGTTGTCAGTCCGCCCCTGTTACCACAGGTATCACTTGACCCTACCTTTTAGATTGTAAACTCTAACAAGCAGGGCCCTCTGATTCCTCCTGCATTGAATTGCACTTTGTAAAGTGCAGTGCAAACTGTTGGCGTTATATAAATCCTGTATAATTTTAATCATGTGAAGTTAAGTTTTATTAGCATGCAGTTTCCAGATGTATGTCTTCCTTATAGGTCACCCAAACTTTGATACATAAGAAATGCAATATTGTCAGATGTAACCTCAGACCTCAAATTTTTCCTATTCTCGGTTGCCTACAAAGTAATTATTTTTCTTTGACAGCTATACTTCTGACATTTGTTTAACATCGTAAGTATCAATTGAGAATGCATTATACTCTATAATGGAATAGCCATGTCAAGCTTTGGAAATACTTTTATTTGAAGTTCCATTAAAATGTTGAAACAAATAATTAATAACAGTTTTAGGTGGGTTGATAAAAAAACAGTCATACTGGTCCCTCAAGATTACCTCAAGGTATAATCTTCGCAGCCTTTGTACAAATTCAAACCTTGTAAAACATCAACAGCAAAAGGTATATTCTACGTTGGCATTAAGACAAACTAATCTTTATAAAACTCAGCCCTCTGCTAAGGTTTGTTGAAACCTTCTACTGCTTGGATTTGTGCAACCCTATTTCCCACAACATATCTAGTAGTTGACTTTATTTGGTGAATGCATGCATTTGTATTGGCCAAAAAGTATATTTAACCCAACTGAACCCTCTGTTCAGATCAGCTAAGTACATTTTAGATGCATCAAAACAAATGATGTGCAACGTCTTACAATTAATTTTCTTAAAAAAAACAGCCACAGCCCACAAAGCATTCATATGGCAAAATAATGGCTAGCAATCTTATTCACAGCATTTGAAAGACAAGTTTCTACAATGTACATCACTGCCATTCCATCAAAAAAGACAAATCTTATCAATGAAATGACCATTTCAAGTCAGTTCATATCATCCAGTCCCCCCTCCTAGCTTTGATCTGACAGCTATCCATATTTCTAACATCTAATGTAACCACAGAACAAATGCTATGGAAGGAGGGAGCAGGATGAAATGAGCTGCCTGAGACAATGATTTCAATTGCTTTACTGTTTCTGCTATAACATTTCAGGATGAATTACTCCACAGTGCCACCAGCTACAAAGGTCAGTGTGGGCTTGCTCTTGTTAATATGTACACATTCTTGAATGTCTATGTAACAGCTTCAGTTCACATACTGTATATTGCTCACTGCACACATTAACATAAAAAATATATTCACATATCCTGGCATAAAA